AAACACTGAGTTGGATCAGTGATGTACATGAAACAGGTTTCACTGGGTTGGATCAGTGATGAAGATGAAACGTAATGGAGATGAAACGATGTAAGTAAGACATGATATAGATGAAACATGATAGATATGAAACACTGATGTAGGTGAAATGCATCAGTTGATGGGATCAGTCATACAGTTACAGAGTCAATGACGAATAGTTAGGAAAAGAAAGAAACCCCCTCCAAGCTGTAACACGTACTCCAAAGAATCTTCTTCTTGCTCCCGGGTTTCTTCTAGGCCTTCCGCAAGTCCTAAGAAATTGGGGTGAAGACGATTGTCTTCATAGGTGGGGGGTCGGGACAAATAGTTAGGTGGCGGCGGCGAGTAGGGGGGAGCAGCTTCTCTCCTAAACTCGTCATCAAGTGGGTGATGATATGGTGCTTGGCTCAAGTCAAAGTCGTTTGGGTCGCCACCCAATTCTTCTGTATGAGCCCTTTCGACTACTCCTGTTATCAAGTTGTTCTGAACCACAGCTAGGATTAGCTTGGCTTCAGGTCCTCCAACTCTCTGCCAGAGTTCTTCTTCGGATTGACTTCTAGCGATCTCAACTAGTTCCAGGGAATCGGCCACTTGTCGTAAGAACCACCATGTAGGGATTGGTTGTCAAGGTGATGAGGGTGTAGGCGAATTGCTTGCCTCTACTTCTTCTTGAACGTTCTGATCCTGTTCTCCTAACCTAATACTCTCTAAGAGTCTCTGCTAGTCCGATGTACTCCTGAAAGAGTTCTTCCTCGGTAGGGGTGTTGAGTCCTCCTGCTGCGAGACTGGCAAGTTGTCCTTCGACAAATTGCAGTTGTTCGGTAGGGCTCCCAAAGAATGGGAAGTGGGTAAGGGGGGAATGGGTACGAGCTTCTTGAAGGTCCTGGGCAAACTGGGAAGTGTGCAACGACACTTCCCAAAGGAGTGAGTTTATCTGTAAAACAAACAAGACAACCAAAAAGAAAGGTTGTCAATAATGACAATCAACAAATAGGATAGTCTGATCTTAATGTCAAGGTATCGCCCTTGACCCTAACCCTAACTCTAATCCCAAGACTCACTTGTTGTGGCTTGGTAATTGTAAGAGGGTAAGCTGAGCTTAGTTCCTGGGAGTGGTTAACTCAGAGGAAGAGTTGAGAGTAAGTAGACAGTGTATGATCGCTAAGATCAGACTGCTGTACTACGCTGGATTGCTCTGGTATTTTATACATGAGGGACCAGACCCCTAATACTACTGTTAGTACACCTAACACCTAGGCTGACTGATGCTCCTAATATGCTATTGGCTATCTAAGAATACCTGGCGTGTGAGCCATCG